GCGTATATGACTTAATGAATCGGAACGTCCTGTCTCACTCTTATCTCCTCTCATATTGTAATCTATCGCGCCTTCGCCATTTAGGCTTCCAAGGTCAACCTGGTTGCTACAGTTAAATTGGTCAGATGACTTCGAGCCTATTTCTCAAGCAGCCCTCGAAGTCTTGTTTGTATACCGTTGCTGTCCTCAGGGTGTTAGACCCGTCACGTGACCCTTGACTGTAGCAGCGATGGATGGGAGAGAAACACCAGTTTATTCTTCTAAAAAACAATTCACTCCAGAGAAGACGTCGAATAAAATGACACGTCAAAATGGCGAACAGGACGACGCGTAGGACAATGAACCGGGGCACAGCACAAACTGTGCAACAGAACGCCGGCGGTGGAGAGGCAAGACGATAGAGGCGTTGGACGGTAGAACGGCGCCGTAGATGGACGATTCGTCGAAACTTAACAAACTGATTAACTGACTGTGGGTCTGGATCTAGGAAGGGTTTATATAGGGAGAATTAGTGGAGGGAAAAGGAGGGCAAGTTAGTTAATGAGTAGGAAAGTTGATAGTATAGAAACATTTAGAATTTGGTGGAATTGTTAGAAGTTAGTAAGGCGGAGGAAGTGGGTCGAAGTATCAGGAATTAGTGAGAGGAGGGAAATGGCATAACTATAGGGTTACAAGGGTGCTTTCTGCTTTCATGCTTACAAATAACTTCGTTCTCTCAAAAAAAAAAGAGTTTGTAGAATCAAAATCTGTTACTTTTTCCCGAGAAATTTCGATTACCAAATGTTATCGTTATAAATTCTCACGGTTCGTTTAGTTCTTGGAAAACGAAAATATATTACGAAGATCCGGGAGGCAACGCAGAGAAAACAGCGGTACGAATGCATCTGAGCAAAGACCCCTAAAAAGGTAACAACTATGTCTTCCTTAAAAATTTGAATTTGATACCTCTGGAATATTTTGCTGACTAATACTTTTCTTCCAGGCCTTTGTCTCATTCCGAAGAAGTAAGCGATGAAGAAGAGGAGGAAGAGGAGTTCGAAATTACACCGATGTTGCCAAAAACTACACAAAAATCGTTGAAAGCGTTGCCAAAAAAGAAAGTGCGCAAACATAGTGCAAATTCGAACGGTGACTCGGATGGAGCTCGGCCAGCTCGAAGGAATAAAGCAGAAGCCCGGAAAAATCGCATCAATTACAGAGACATTAGTTCCGGAGAAGAGGTACTGCATTCCTCAAACTTCGAAAAGCTGGGAAATTGGATATATTAGTGATGATTACTGATCAAAGTGAAACGGATCTGCAAAAAAGCGCTATTTAGCCCCGCAACAAAATGAATCTTTTCAGCCTATCCTTTTTTTTTTTGTTTAAACTTTTTCCCTTACCATAAGCTAGCAGTTTGCATCTTTTTATGCGTTTTGTGCTGTGTAACAGCAGTACAAAACGCATATTGTCACGGGGTTGTCTGTGTTGTGTTTGTGTGTGTGTGTCCGCAGCAACTTGTCCGCAACTTTCAACTCGGGAACCACAAAAGCAAAGCGCTGAATAGGGTAACGTTTCCCACCCACGTGTGACCCCACAAATTTAAATTCAGCTTCCCCGTACCCACGGGTAACGTGTACGGCCTGAACGTTCCCCACCCACGTGTGACCCCGCAAATTTAAATTCAGGTTCCCTGTACCCGCGGGTAACGCGTACGGCCCCGTGAAAGTTTTTTACGGGTAAGTTAATGTCTCGGGAACCACGGAGTCTAGGAGGCTGAAATTTTAGGGTTATGACCCACTGCTCACGCTCAACCTTGTCCATTCAAATTCAGCCTTCCCTTACCCGCGGGTAACACGTACGGCCCCGTGAAATTTATTCACGGGTAAGTTCATATCTCGGGAACCACGGAGTCTAGGAGGCTGAAATTTTAGGGTAATGACCTCCTGCCCACGCTCAATCTTGCCCATTCAAATTCAGCGTTCTCGCGCTCTCGGGTACCACTTACGGCTTCGTGGAAATTTTGGCGGGTAAACTATTAACTCGGGAATCATGGAAAGATATTCATCCTTCCAGGTTTCGAATTCAGCTTCCATACGCTGGTGCGTGAAATTTTTAACTGTTTTCCAGTGTGAACTATTTTTGCATAGACTAAGGTGAAAATCATTAATAGGCAATCGTTCGACAGGCTGAATTGCACAAAACGCATGATCGCACCTGCTAGTCTAGTGCGCGTTGCTATTTATTTTTTTTTTTTCATTTCGGCATAATTTCACGCTTCAGATGATTCCTGCTTCTACCTGCATGCATAGTTCAGCCTGTGTTTACAGCTAAGGGATGAAGCGTAGGATCCATCGTAAAATGTCTTCTTACACATGACACTTAAGTCCAATCTCTCTATTCTACTATTCATGCTTTTTGGCTCGGCCTTTTGCTTATTTTCTAATTTATTTATAAGGGGGAACTTGCTAAGGAAAAAGAAGGATGCTTCTTCCATCTTTCCGCAAACTTCAGGATATGTTCTAGGTGTTTCAGGAAGCAATTGTTTTCCACTTGTGAGTTTTGATAATACCCAAATTTTGGCTTGTCCAAGATTCGCCATAAAGCGCTTTTTTTGATTATTCAAAGCCAGTTATTTATCATACGGGTGCCAAAATCAAAAGAGTATTTTATTGTCCGTATGTTTAGAAACAGTGAAGCTGAAAGTGCACCGTAATGAACAAGTACTCACATATAAAATAAACTTTCACGTCCTCTTATTTTTCTAAAGTACGAACAAAGTAATATTTTTATAACCCCGCATTCAGAATACCTAGAGTGCTGAAATTTTCTGAGCATAATCCCCTATCATATGCGGATTTGTACATGTGAAATCATTCGTCACGTTCCTGTACATCGCAGATATAGGGATGGAAGATCAGTGCTGGCAGTTCTGTAACTTCGCAACGAAAATAGCTAGGTGGCTGAAATTTTTTGAGCTTCGTTTACGTCATTTTTTTCTTCCCATTTTGGCATAATTTCGCGCTTCAGCTTTATGTTTTTTGGAATAAAATCAACTCTTGAGCCCCCCC